TTTTTTTTGATGTTGTCAGTACCGAGGAGTGAACCGGCGATCTTCCGATCACAGGCCCACCTTCTCTAACCTCTGCGCCACCACTCCCCAATGCTTTTTAAAATGCTTTTTAGTTGAGAAAATAGTGACAAAATAAAAACCTGTCATACAGAAGTAGCATAATATAATCAGATCAGAACAGAACAAACAAGAATACAGTGTTTCAGTTTTGAATTGTTTTCGATTGTGAAAAATGCACAGCTTTCTGGGCTCCAGTCCAAGCAGATGTCAGCTTCTGTCCATGTCAGAAATTCCTGATTTTTCCAAACGGAGGGCGCTCTGACCGTCGGTCGACAGCAAATAATCTACTGTCTGACCCAACACAATTACTCTTCAAGGAAAAAGAAATTCTACAAAAATCTCTGAAACTCATTTTATACACAGGGTGTGATTTGAGCACCCATAAAATTGTTTTTAAACGATCCTAAGCATCGCTCAAATAACTGACATCTCTCTGTATTTTAAGGAAAAGTATAAGCAAAGAAAGAAAATGCACTAAAATCACCAGTTTTTGTGTATTTAGTGTGTAGTGTACACGCCCACCTGTTTCTGTGCACCAGGTGTGCGTCCTTCACTGGACGAGCGTGATCGTCCCCTCTCATACGAAGGCTCTCGGCTTCGCTCCTCAGAGTTGCAGCGAGACACGTCAGGAGAGAGCAGGTGGCGGCGCTCCTTCGATCTCCCTCTTTCATGACTGCTTGTTTCTCGGGGGCCGATCCGAGGGCCTAAGCAACAGCACAAGTGTTGAGGTAAAATGGCATACGTGTAAAGACAGCCTTGAAGTCACATTTCAGATGCTGTTAAATATGTCTCTTCATGTATATTTGGTTATTTGATATTTACTTAAATCTCAATAAATTATCAAGGTCCTGCAGTTATTATAAATAAACGAAGAGCACAACAGTTCCAATTTTTTACAAGAGGCTCTAATCCCCACCATTTTTGTTTTTAAAATTATTTTAATGCATGTGAAAAGCAAAAATAAAGTCAATACAGTAGTTCCTTGTTTATCGCGGGGGATCTGTACCCAGAAGACCCTCGATAAGTGAAAAATTGCAAAGTAGGAATAGTAGTAAAAGTAGTAACTAGTAGTTTATTTATA